ACTCAAGATCTCTCTCTCTCTCTCTCTCTCTCTCTCTCTCTCTCTCTCTCACACACACACACACACACACACACACACACACCCGTCAGAGCTGTCTATAACTATTGAGTAATTCTGTGATTTGGCTTCATTTTTGGTTTTTGGAAAGTGCCTGTGCTTGAGGGAAATAGAAACAGACTGGAAAAAGGAAGGGAGAAGTGAAGCCAGCGAACACCATTAAGTGAGAAAATGGCCTGAGAGATTCAATTGTGTTCATTAGGGTTGGCCAAAAACAGAAGTTTAAAAAAGACATACAGCAAAGAGCACAGAGATTTGGGGTCCCAGCTATCTAAGCAAGGTCCAGGAAGTAACTAAATTGGCAGAATTTACCTTTACCCAACAGCAGCTGGGACCTGTAGAAAACACTCCTCTGCTCACTTGTGTGACTAGAGTGAGCATCACAATGTTGGCCCAAGCCACTGCAGGTGTGGACAGAAGTGAATCAGGACTATTGTGTCCAGGGGGGTGCCGTGTGCTCTGAGCCAGCCCTTGGGACTGGACCACCAGTGGGACAAGGAGGCACAGCTGCTTTCCCTCTGTAAAACACCTTCTCAAATTCCTTTGTACAGACTACAATAGCTATGATACTTTCAGATACACGGACACTCCGTGTAGAATCTCCTCGAACTTGCAGTGGGTAGCTCTGCCTGCATCTCAAAAACAGTTCAGAAATTTCCCCAGAGGAACATGAATTAGAAATCCCTGTAGATGGGATTTATACTCAAACGAGAGGGGTGGGGAGGCAAGGATAGTGGCCAAGCCTAGAACTGAAGGATGTACTCTGTGGCTGCCTGAATGGATTACCAGAGAACTGCAAAATAACTAGGAAACTCAAAGCTTGCATGCACAAGAGTGCTAATAGCAGCAGCAGCTCTGATTTTATTCTTATGAGAACTACAGCCAAATGCTTACAGAACACTGAACAATAATAAAATAGCTTGAATATGACAATTCAGCAAAATAAGCTGAACACATTATCTCCATAATATGTCTTAGGAGATCAACATGTCTCAGGAGAAACTAAAGGGGAGCCCCAGCATTCCAGAGATCTCTCCTCAGGTCAGCAAGCATTCTGCATAAACTTTCTCATGAGACATGAGCTTCTCCAAACATGCTCAAAGCTCAGCTTAGTTCACCAAGTATATTTTTAAAGCCATATGAACACTGTTTCACAACCTTCTCAGTGCTCATTCTTGGGGCTTGCATGACCATACAGCAAATACCTCCTTACATCCTCTACCCTTGCTACCCCACATGCCTCAAGTCCAGTCCTGGTGGAAAATACATTTTTGTTTCATTCTTTCATGTATCCACCAATTAAATATATGAATCCAGTTCAGTGAATGTAATAACCATTCACTGGGATCATACTATGTAGGCCCTCCTGCTGGAAAGATAAGGCATGTCCTTCATTTTAAAAAAAAAAACATAGGTAAACCTAGAGCCATTTCCCATCTGAATGCCAATAGTGCATCCAAAAGAGTTGAGGCACTGAGAAAATAGTTAATCAGCGCATTGAAGTGAAAATGGAAAACCGATACAAGTGAAAGACAAGTTAAATGTATTTTCTATGTCTGTTTTGTGGTGCTATAACAATACCTGAGACTAGGAAAATCGTAGAGACTTATATCTTACAGTTCTTCTTCCAAGAGTTCAAGACCAAGGGTTTACAGCTGGTGAGAGCCCTCTTACTACATCATAACATAGCATCACATGGAATGAGAGGGCAAGAGGGGGCTGCACTCACTTGTATAATATACCTACTCTTTTGAGCACCTTGTTAATCCTTAAACTAATGACTTCTTAAGGTCTCACTTCTCATGAGTGTTGCATTGGGATTTAGTTTCCAACACTTGAACTTTCAGGCACATTCAAAATTCAGCAAAATAGAACATTGGGCCACATACTGTAAGGCTCAGTCTACATTTATTATATAAAACGTCCTCAATAGGTAAATCTATAGAAACAAAAAATATATCAGTGGCTACCTAAACCTGAGAGGTAACGGAAATAAGCAATGGCTCTGTTAATTATACAGGGCTTCTTTCTTTCTTCCTTGGTTTCATTTATTATTTATTTTGTGGCGCCAGACATTGAAACCCAGAGCCTCAAGCAAGCTAGGCGAGTGCTCTACCACTGAGTTGCACCCCCAGCCCCAGAGTTCCCTTTTAGGGTGATAAAAAAATATCCTGAAACTGACTACCATGGCTGTAGCGATTCCTTTCAGCTAGAACCTGAGGAAAGGTTTGAAAAAATTTGGTTTTGACTGTGGAAGTAGATTAAGAGCATTTCAAGCAGGAAAAATAAGAGTGATTAAGGGTAGGAAGCAGGAAATTATGGGATGTATGCAAGCCATACTAAGTTGGGATGGTTTCAAGTTGAAGAAGGACTTGAATCTCAAGTGGCAGCACCCAGACTTTGGGCCATAAGAAACAGGATCAAAGAAGACAGAGCCGCTTTTTTTAAAAAAGAAAGCAAGGTTGGAAGTTGACAGAAGAGACTGATACATGATCCATTTGATTTCCTAGGTAGCCAAAAAAAAAAACCAACAGGAAATATAATCTGCCTCCCCATGCAAATATGTCTGTCATAGGGAAAGGAAAAATATAAATACATGCTGTCCTAGTTAGTTTTCGATTGCTATCATAAAACACTGACCAAAAATTAATTTAGGAAGAGAGAGTTTATTTCATCTTGCATTTCCAAGGCACAGTTCATCTTTAACGGAAGTCAGGTGGGAACTCAAGACAGGAGCCTAGAGGCAAGAAATGAGCAGAGGCCATGGAGGAACACTGCTTACTGACTTGCTCCCCGTGGCTTGCTCAGTTACCTTTCTTATACAGTCCAGGCCCACCTTCCCAGGGATGGTACTGCCCACAGTGGGCTGTGCCCTCCTGCAGCAGTTAACAGTTAAGAAAAGGCCTCACGGACATGCACACAGGCCAATCTGATGGAGACCCCATTTGAGGTTCCTTCCCAGGTGACTCTAGTTTATGTCAAGTTGACAAAAACTAACCAGCACACTTATCTAACTGAGCTCTAGAGTCTAGACTTTTCTCTCCCTTCTGCATGTGGGTTCTGATGAATTTACTTTGAAGAAAAAGAAAAAAGAACCAGCATTTGTAAGTACTTACTATGTGCTAGGCAGATGTGTTCATTACCTTGTTTTTTATCTTAAAGCATCAGTTGGAGGCAGGTAGCATGCCCCACATTTTATAAATGTAGAAAATCAATCTCAGGCTAGGAAGTTTCTGCTCCTTAGAGCAGGATCCCATTTGGAGCTAGATGTATGTCCCTGCAGCCATCTTTCCAGTCCCCCTATCCTGAATCCAAGTCCCTTACCATTGGAACAGTGCTTGATTAATTGAGACAAGTTGTTGGGGAAAGAGAAAGATTTATTCAGCAATCCAGTATTGACAAAATAAACAGTTATCACCTCAAATAAATAAGAGATGGTTTCTTCTGGAGCCCTCTGTGACCACAGCCTGGGAACACAAATTTAGGTTTTCCCAAATACCATACTCCAATGAGGTAGCAGTTTCACAAATGTCTTACAGTAACAGAACAAAGAAAGTCATAAATCAACTTACTTTCCAAATACATTGGGGGTACATTCCGTAGGCAGGTCACAACAAAGCAGGGAGAATTCTATAGGTCTCAAGTGCTACCTGATGACATTCTTAACTTTTTGGTTGGTGGAAACTCAGTCTGCTAGTTAATACTTTTCAAAAGGTTTTTTATCTGTTAGTCACAGAATGTTAAGTCAAAAACAGAGGTGGGCAAGGAATGGCTATCTAGGGGTGTTGGGTAGGTGTATCCTCCAAAGGAACTAGAACTGAACCCTGCAAGACTCAGAGGGGTAGAGTCTAGGGACAGACACTGAAGATGCTGAGAGATGCTAAGGACATGGGAAACCTGAGCACACTGGGAAAAAAGGGGGGGATTCAAGATCTGGGAAGCAGAGCATGCAGAGGAGCCAATGGGGAGGAACTCAAATGTGGAAAAGAAAGAGCTCACAGGTGCACATGCCTTTGTAAGTGACCCTCTTCCGAATAGCATAAACTTTGTTGGCAAGCCCAAATAAATATCATTCCCAAAACTGTAACTTAAGAGGAACACTGTGATGGTTAGTTAGAACCACGCTCTCTGGGATCCCAGAGAGCTCTCACGGTCTCTCGGGAAAATTTGGTATGACAAGGGGCTAAAGATAGCCTGAGATAAATGGTAATTAGGTTCTGGACCCCCAGCATTCCAGACTTTCCATGATCACTGGAGCTCTGATTAGTTGATCAACCTTGCATAAGAAGGTTCAGTTTGAAAATACACGGTTTATCTAGGAACTTCTGTTCACACCAGCAAGACTAAGAAGAAAATGGGGTAGTGTTCTGAACACCATTTTCACTCAGCACAGGTTTTAGACATCTTTTCACAGTAGACAAGTAGAGATTTGAGGTTAGTTTAGTTAGTGAAACCTGGTGGCTGACAGTCTGTTGGTAATTTGGCTTGTCTTAGCATCCTCAGTCTAGAAAGTTAGGGAAACAGCCAGGTAAATCAGCTTTGTGCTGCCAATTTGAATATCTAATGCAGGCTACATTCAGCCAGGCACAAACTGTTTTGACCAAAGGGCGGAACGTGGAGGCTGTGTAGCTGTTTCTTTGGAACCGTTAGCATGGCTATACCCTAGTCCCTGCTCGTTTTAGATTCTCTGTCAGACTAGACAGGGAGGAGCCCAAGCAAGAGGACAGGGCTCAGCTACAAAGCCAGGAGCCTGAGCATAGTAGACCACCAGATGTCCACAGAGAGGGAGGAGCAGGTTTGGCCCCAAGCATTCACCCAAACATCCTCCAGTCTGCAGCTCAATTCAATGGAGCTTTGCAGTTGAGCAATCATTATACAATGAGAGGTGCTTCCTCATCTGGCAGGGTCCAAGGTTTGTTTCTGGCAGGCAGGAGTCTGCCAGTTATGGCTCTCGCTGACATACTGACAGAAGAGCCTTCTGGATTGTAAACTGCCTGCTGAAGGTCGGGTCTGGTACAGTGGAACTTGAGCCTCTGTGCTTGCCATACCACGGAAATGCCATCCTACTTCCTCTGGACTTAACTACCGTGTCCACTGAACATAAAGGCAGTCCAGCCTTTGGACTGCTATCTGTCAACAAGAGCTAGAAGGTAAGAAACAGCTTACAGGAAATGCTTTGCCTAACTTTTTCACGTATATTTTTAGTTTTTAGGCTTGTAAGTGTCAATATATAAGTAGATTAACTCAAGTCAGGAAGATCATAAGTCCTAAGAAACCTGAATAAAATAATAAAAGGCCTGTGAAACCCCACCAGCTATGTTAGACTTAAAAGTTCTCACAGGGGGATGGAGAGATGGCTCAGAGGTTAAGAGCACTGACTGCTCTTGCAGAGGACCTGGGTTCAATTCCCAGCACCCACATGGCAGCTATGAACCATCCTTAACTCCAGTTCCAGGGGAATCTGATGCCTCTTCTGACCTCCATGGCATTGCATGACATGGGTGCTCTCAAATACATGCAGGCAATACACTCAGACATATAAAATAAAAATAATAAAATATTTTAAGAGAAAATTCTCACAGTCACCTCCCCGATGATACTGCCTACTTTATCACCCTGATCAATTCTACAAAAGCCTCTCTCCTCTACAGCCAACTGGATTTCTCTGACCATGACTGTTTCTTCTGCCCATAAGACCCTCTTTAGTTCCTTTTTCTGGCTATTGCTCAAGCTAGAACTATAAAATGGACTGGACCAGGTCCACTGCTCCAGGGAGTTAGTTACTTAAGCAAGTAATCATAGTGTGTGGAGTAAGCTCTGTGAAGTTTACATGTGACGTTGAGTCTCTAGAGGCTGAGGCAGGAGGATTATTTCAAGTTTGGGTCAGTGTGAGCTCCAGTGTAAGACTCTGCCTCAAAAAACAAAACAAAAGATTAATTCCAAGGGAAGGAGCAATTATTTCTGCTCATAAAGACTTTCACAAAGGAGGTCACACTGACATAACCTGAGAGGATGTAAAGGCAGTTTTGGGGGGCAGTTTGAATATCTACCTGCAATTCCTCAAAGGGCAGGAATCATATGCTGATGCAACCCAGAAAAGGGCGGGGGAACCTATGGAAGGATGAGAAGGTCCTGAAATTCCTTTGGGGACTAGTAATGTCATCTGCTCTTCAGCACTACCCACTGCCTCCACCCTCCTTCTGCACCACCCCTTGTCCCCACCTTCAGCCCAGTTCCACTGAGCCTGGCGTGGGCCTACAACACGGCAGGACAGTGGAGACCACAGTACACTGGAGTATTTTTAACTCTCTGGACCCTGGCAGCAGCAACAGTGGGTTCCGGTGACTCTCTCTCACAGCCCTGTGTGCTCTGGCCCATCAGACCCCAGGTGCCTATCCACCCACCTGCTTCTTGACTTTCAGTGGGGTTATATACTGACAAACCACTGGGTTTCGTCCCCCTAATTTGCCAGGCATTGTTGCTCAGCAGCACAGTGGGCTGTAGAGTCCATTGTTTCCCTGTGATCTTGTGATCATAGGGTTGACTGGGAGCTGCAGATGACTGCCGCCCAGCACCAGAAGAGGGGGTTGTACTACAATTCTTGGAAAAGACCAAAATTCAACATATGAGCTCCACTAAATTCCTATGGCTTTTGCATCATTGTAAGATCAAAAATTCAAGGATCCTCTCCTCCCTTCACCTTCCAGTGCTTGGGATGCTCTCTTCCCCTGTTCAGGCAATAGAACCCATGACCTGCTGCATACTGGGAAAATCTCTATTATTGAGCTATGCCCTAGCCCCTATCTAACTCAATTCACACAATTTCATTGCCACACCAAGCCCTTCAGCCATACCTGCCTAGCACACAAAGCCTGCTGTTGAGATGGTCTCTGTGTTGACTGAACAACTATGAAATCACAATCTCCGGGTCACAGCTCTAAAGCCACACACCTGCCTACAAGTCTTCCATCTGGATGTCCCACAGATATCTCAAAATCCTAAAGTGGAGCCACCCTCCACAGCCACTGCTCACCTTCTCAGCAGCAAGCAACACTCCCTCTCTAGTTAAGCAAACCAAAAATTCTTTTTGGGTTTTTTTGTTGTTGTTGTTGCTGTTGTTGCTTTGGTCTTTTTTGAGACAGAGTCTCCCAGTGGCCCCAGCTGGCCTGGAACTCACTATGTAGACCAGGCTGGACTTGAACTGACAGAGATGCCTGCCTCTGCCTCCCAAATACTGAGATTAAAGGCATGTGCCACAATACCTAGCTGCAAACCAAAAACCTTTTTTTAACATTTGTTTTTATTGAATTTTTTTGTATTTCATACAGACATCTCAAACAATCTTGATCATCTTTATGCCCCCATCCCCACTGGCACCCTCCCATAACCCCCCCCACTGGAGCCCATATACTCTGTCATCCCTGTTAAGACCCACTCTGTCATCATTCCCCAGAGCAAGTCCATCCACTGAGGTCTAGTCAGCCTATGTAGAGTCCCTTGTTTTAAGAAGATCAGCTCTTCTTCACCTAGCAACAATCAGTTGGCAATATTTCTTCAGATAGGATTAGGGTCTGCTATTCATTTTTCCCAGTTCTATGCTGGGTTTTTGCCTGCCTGAGTTTGCATGGGACTTGTGTATGCTGACACCATTGCCATAGAATCATATGAGCAGGTTCTCAGGAGCTTGTAGGACTCTGTTTCCATATGGTCATGCACTTCTCCGTGCCTCTTACAATCTTTCTGCCCCCTCTTCCAAGATGGTCCCTGAGCCTTGAGTGGGTGAAGTTTAATAAAGGAGTCCTGTCCAAGGACAATCATTCACCAGACTCTTGATCTCTACACTTTGGCCATTTGTGACTTTTTGTGTTCCTGGCCCTTCGCAGCATGAGGGAGCTTCATTATTGGAAACTGAGAGATTCATTAGCATTAGTGTCCTCTTCTTTACCCCTGTTCTATGTTCCATGAGCCTTAGGTGTAGAGGTACAAACCAAAACTCTTAATGCTTAATGCTTTGATTTTTCCCTAGCCTTTGCACCACCTCACATCTACTTAGTCATTAAGTGTAATTCAATTCCCACCAGCCCCTCTTATAGACAGCACCCAGGCCAGGATAGAGTAGAAATGTGTCAACCAACAAAGATACCCCCACATTCTCTAGTCATCCAGACAAGGCTCTGTCCTTCCCACTCATAAAAATAACCACTCAGTGTCATAACATTTTTTGTTGCTGTTTTGTTGTTGTTGGGGTTTGGGGAGGGGAGCGGCAGTTTTGCTTTTGACAGTCTCTCTAGTCCCAACCCACCTGGAAGTCACTATGTGGGCCAGGCTGGTCTCATCCGCCTACCTCTGCCTCCAAGGGCTGGGATTAAAGGCACAAACCACCACATCCAGTGGCATAATTCTTTGGACATAATAGTTTAGATTGGCCCATTGGTCTTTTTAAATATATCCTTCGTGGTGGTTTGAATGAAAACAGTCTCCCATAGGCTCAAGTATTTGAACACTTGATCTTCAGTTGGTGGCACTGTTTAGAGATGTTATGAGGAGGTACAGACTTGCTAGAGGAAGTACATCACTGGGGAAAGTTTTGGGGACTTATAGCCTTGCCCCATTTCCAGTTCACTCTTTCTGCTTCGTGTTTGTGGTTGAAGATATGCTCTCTCAGCTTCCTGCTCCTGCTGCTATACCTGTCCATCGGTATGGACTCCCGTCCTCTGGAACTGTAAGCTAAAACAAACTCTTTTTTCCATTAGTCACTTTTGGCCATGATGTTTTATCACAGTACACAAAAAGTAACTAATAAGTATCTAATACAGAAGTTGATACCAGAGAGTGAGATTGTTCCTGTGAATAACCCAACCATGCTGTTTGGGAGAGGAATGTGGAAGGCTTGGAACTTTGGACTAGAAAAGCAGCTGAGTGCTAAAAGCAGAGATGAGCAGGCCATTCTAATAGGAGCTATGAGATTCTGCTGAGAGTACAAACTAGGGGAATGAGGTCAAACTAGGGGAACTGGACTGAGGCCATTCATGTGATATTTTAGCAAAGAATCTGACTTCTTTCTGTCCTTGACCTAAGAACTTGCCTGAGGCTAAATTAAAATTTAATGGATTACTTTCTTGAGTGGAGGAAATTTGAAGACAGCATTATGTTGAGTCTGTCTGTGTCTTGGTTATTATTGATAAGTCTTATGCAGATCTACAATGAAAAAGGGCAAGTGGAACAGAAAAAAATGGAAAATGTATAGTTTGAAGCAAAAAAGAGCACCAGGAAGCTTAATATTACAGCCAAAGCATGATGAAAGAGAGGCTGTAAGTTAGATTAGTGCCATTAAAGAGAGGCCTCCTGCACTGCACTGAAACAACAGAAACGGTTCCCTCAGGGTAAGACCCTACCTACCTAAGCTTCTGATCTATGAAAGGAAGACTTCTAGACCCTACCTACCTAAGCTTCTGATCTATGAAAGGAAGACTTCTAAGGAGAGGGTAAGACCCTACCTACCTAAGCTTCTGATCTATGAAAGGAAGACTTCTAAGGAACTGTTTGCTCCTAGAAAGCAATGGCATATGAAAGCTGTTACAAATGTGATTCAAGGGGGTAAGGGTCCATCCCAAACTGGCAGTTGAACTTGAAAGTGTTGTCCAAATGGTATGGGCTTTGGAAGAATGAATGATACAAGAGTGAGGGGGTCATGGACTCTTCTTATGCAGTTTCAGAGAGCTACTGAAACCAGGCAATGTGTGGCAGTGTTGAAGCCATGGTAAGAAAACCAAACCTAGGAGGCCCTCGGAGGCCATTGCATGAAACTGTGATAGTGAAGCCTGAGTTGCCATGGAGACCCAAAGATATTGGAGATACCAGAACTTTGAGACATCTGCCAATGAGAACTGCATACAGGGAACAGAACCAGTCCAAGAGAGTGATGTATGCTGCACTCACCCAGCCAAGCTGAAAAGGTAGAGCCATCTAAGCTAAAGTCTCAAGCATCAGACATGGAGCTACAGGATTTGGTCTTTGCCCTACTGGGCTTTAATCTTACTTTGGTCTCATATTTCCTCACTATGACCCCATTCCCCTATTTTGAATTAGGAACTTCTCATTATATGTTGGAAGTATCTAATTTGCCTTTTTTTATTTTAAAGGGTGTTAT